GGTGCCCCCACCCTCTGGAACGAACTACCCCCCGAGATCCGGACGATTCCGGACCTCCTACCTTTTCGCCGCGCCCTCAAGACATGGCTCTTTCAACAAGCGGGTCTGGCCTAGGGAGAATTTTTAAATAGGGACAATTTTAATTTAAATTTTAATTAATTATACAGCGAAAAAAAATATTTGGTTTTTAACAGGTTTTATGGGGGATGATGTTATGTGTTTTAATATGCTGTAAGCCGCCCTGAGTCCTATAGGGAGAAGGGCGGCATATAAATCCATGTTTAAATTAAATTAAATTAAATAACAGGGAGTGTGAGTGTGTAATGGACAGCTGGAAATTTTGTCAATATGCAGATTTTCTAATATCACAGGTAGTCCTCAGCTTATGACCACAACTGAGCCCCAAATTTCCTTTACTAAGCAAGGCAGTTGCTAAATGAGCTTTGTCCCATTTTACAACATTTTTGCTACAGTTGTTAAGCAGAACACGTGGTTGTTAAGTGAATCAGGCCTCCCGCGTTGACTTTGCTTGTCGGAAGCCAACTGGAAAGGTTACAGACGGTGATCACATGACCCCAGGACAATGCACCTGTCATAAATACATCTCAGTTGCTGTGTGCCTGAGTGATTTGGGCCATGTACCACCGGGGGTGGGGGGATGCCGCAATGGTTGTAAGTGTAAAAACTGGCCGTAAGTCACTTTTCTCAGTGCTGTTGTAACTTCGAACGGTCACTAAACGAATGGTTGTAAGTCGAGGATTACCTGTATTAGGTTTTTGACACAACAAATACTTGTTTGGAATTTATGTGGCTTTGTGATTCGTTGTCGTTGCCTTTGAACAGGTTAGGGAAATACAAGAGTGACCTGGGAGGAGAGTTCTCGGTTCCATGATGCCTCCGAAAAGGTCCCGAGGGAAACTTCCTCAGATAGCCACTCGTAAAAGACGCTTGAAGAGTCGGTGGAAGTTGGAGGAGCAGCAGAAGAGCGGCCTGCTTTTGGGAGAAGAGAAAGGGAAAGCAAGGAGCCCCAACAAAAAGGCCAGGAAGCGAAAGGGCCCCCCGGCCCCCCAGAGAAGTTACGCGGGGGAGAATCCTAACATCTGCACGGAGTGCGGGCAAACGTTTGCGCAGACTTTGGATTTGGTGAGCCACCAAAGGATCCATGCTGGAGAAAAGCCCTATATATGCTCTGACTGTGGGAAAACCTTTAGCATCAGTTCCAACCTGAGCAGGCACCAGAGGACTCACACCAGGGAGAAGCCCTACCTTTGCTCAGAGTGTGGGAAAAGCTTCACAGACAAGTCATCTTTGGATCAACATGTGCGAACCCATTCAGGGGAGACCCCCTTCCAGTGTATTGATTGTGGGAAATTGTTCCGGCAGAGTTCCCATCAGAAGCGGCCTCTGAAGGGCCCCCCAGGAAAACAGCAGAGCAGCTGCACCCCTTCAGAGACTACTGTGGTCACCACCAGCTCAGCCCCTGGCCGTGCTCAAAGACCCCGCGTTTCTAAAAAGCAAGACTCTCCCTTTGAAATCCCCCACACGTGTGCCGAATGCTGGCAGAGCTTCAACCAGACCTCAGACCTGGTCAAGCATATGCGCATCCACACGGGCGAGAAGCCGTTTGAGTGCAGCCACTGCGGGAAGTGTTTCAACGTCAGCTCCAACCTCATCCGGCACAAGAGGATCCACACAGGGGAGAAACCTTACACCTGCTCCGTCTGTGGGAAGAGCTTCACCGACAAATCCACCCTCACCCAGCATAACCGCATCCATACGGGAGAGAAACCTTACACCTGTAGTTACTGCGGGAAAAGCTTCAGCCGGAGTTCTCATCACAAGAGGCACCAGCGGATCCACGTGGGGGAAAATCCGGTCTCTCTCCTGCCTCTGTGGCCTTATCCTAACCAAATGTACTGAGAGCCCTTCTGTTGGGCAAGGCAGAATTTCCCCTCCACATTTGCAGCTGATGGTTCAACCTGGGTTTCACCTGGGTGTTTGGATCCAGGGCAGGAATGATGCTTCACCTCTGGTGTGGAGCACACTCACTCTTCAGTAGTGGCCAAAATTGTGGAAACCTTTTGGGAAAAGTGTATTTTTGAGGTTTGATGGCTAATAATACCACTTTTTTGGGGGGGGGGAGTAGTACCGTGAAATTATATATCAATGGAAAGATAATTTAATCAAGAATGTAATCCAACAAAGTTTGTTCAATTATCTGTATTGTATTCTATGAAAAGTTATAGCCAAATAACCAGAAAAAAGGAAGCCCAACTTGCTTAGGTTGATATCAGGTAGCTTTCCTTCATCTGATTGTAGCCAATAAGCATGAGTGTTTAGAGAGCCAATCAGGTGTCATCTTGTTTTGGCAGTGAGCCAATCAGATCACAGTAGGATTCAGTGATTGATGTCATGTGTTGAAGTTGAGAGGAGGACATTTGTCAGTGTGTTATGTGATCACTATCAAGTTGGTTGGTTTTTTTTGTGTTCTTTCATTTAGTGAGCTTGTAAAACGTAATAAAATTACAGTAATGGTGCAAAGAGTTGACTGGTTGCCCAGAAAGCAATGTAAAATAATAATATTAAGTGAACAAGGCTACAGTTATAAAGAAATTAGAAGAAAACTTGGTGGAAACTTAACCAAAGGTGGCATTTCTACTGTACACTTTTCCCAAAAGGTTTCCACAATTTTGGCCACTACTGTACCTGTCAGTGTCCCTTCAAAAAAAAAAAGCGTCACACAGTGAGACTTGGAAAAGATGTAGGTTTTTTAAAGATATTGTTGACAGGCATGCCACAGCAGGCCTAAAACACCTTTCCCATTTTAGATGGGAATGCTATACAGGGAGTCCTTGTTTAGCGTCTACCTTCTTTAGCAACCATTTTGCAATTATGACCGTGACGAAAAAAATAACCTCATAAGCAATCTTTGCGTTTACAACCTTTTCAAGTCTGCAAAACAAAGGAAAACTGAAGTAAGGTCATAAGCATAGGGGTGTTTCATAGCCTCTTTGCTTAACAATGGAATTTCCAGTCCCAATTGTGGTTGCTAAACAAGGACTACCTGTACATTCTATTATTTACCTCACATGCATCTAAATGTCCTAAGACGAATGCTCACATTCCATGACGAGAGAGAAAGGTTTGGATTTTCATCTACCAAAGTCGAGATCCTTTCCGTGAATGGGACTGGAGCCCTTTCAGCAAAACTCTTTTTGCTTCTCTTTTGCAGGGATTCCTGCTCCATCTGGACTTTTCTTTCCACCAAGGCATCTCAGATATGCAGACAGGTTTTGTAACTGTTCATAGAATATTATTGTAATTCAATAAACAGGTTTAAGGCATGATGTTTACAGATCTAATTGACACTGTTGCACTGAGTATGTGACAGAGTCAGTTTGGTATAAGTAATAATAATAATAATACTAGTAAAGTTGGAAGGGACCTTGGAGGTCATCTAGTTCAACCCCCTGCTCAGGCAGGAAACCCTATACAATTTTGGACAAATGGCTGTCCAGTCTCTTCTTAAAAACCTCCAGTGTTGGAGCATTCACCGCTTCTGGAGGCAGGTTGTTCCACCGGTTAATTGTTCTACCTCTCAGGAAGTTCCTCCTTAGTTCTAGGTTGCTTCTCTCCTTGCTTAGTTTCCACCTGTTGCTTCTTGTCCTGCCTTCAGGCGCCTTGGAAAATAGCTTGACTCCCTGTTCTTTGTGGCAGCCCCTGAGATATTGGAACACTGCTATCATGTCCCCCCTTGTCCTTCTCTTCGTTAAACTAGACATACCCAATTCCAGCAGCCGTTCCTCATATGCTTTAGCCTCCAGTCCCCTAATTATCTTTGTTGCTCTTCTCTGTACTCTTTCTAAGTAATTAAAGCACCATGCTAGAAACCAAGAGATTGTGAGTTCTAGTTCTGCCTGAGGCCAGCTGGGAGATTTTGGGCCATTCCCTCTCTCTTAGCCCTCAAAGAAGGAGGTAAGGGCAAAACACTTCTGAAAAACCTTGCCATGAAATCTGCACAGATTAGTGCAGCCAGTCTCCAGGTGTCTACAATGACTCCAAAGGCACGCACAGTTACACACACACAGGCACATACAGAGAAAACCTGAGTACGAGAACAGTGTCTTCCTCTGATGAAGATATTAACAATGGGGTCCTTGCTTGTCTTTATCTTAAGCTTCTATAAGATTTGTTGTGTATTCTTAGATTTCCTGCAAATTGGGTGACTGAATGGTTTTTAGTCTGTCCAAGAAGTGGGGCGGGGGGGGGGGGGAAGGACAAGGCTCTGTTCTTTCTGGCAGCCAAAGGAAAAGTTATCCTATAGGCATGGAGCTCCATGGCAGAGTGGGAGGGGTCGATGGCACTTGAGCAGCTGGAATGATCAAAGCTGCTTAAGTTAGTTTATCCATTCCAGAGAAGGGCAATTGTCTCAAAATGGAAGTCTCTGATTTCCTGAAACCACAGAGGTACAGGTCTAGTCCTTGACTTACAACCACACTTGAGCCCAATTTTTTTTTCACTGCTAAGTGAAACATTTGTTAAGTGAGTTTGGCCCCATTTTACAACCTTTTCTTGCCACAGTTGTTAAGTGAATCCCTGCAGTTGTTAAGTTAGTGACAGGGTTGTTAAGTGAATCTGGCTTCCTCATTGACTTTGCTTGTCAGAAGGTCGCAAAAGAGGATTGTGTGACGCTGGCACACAGCAACCATCATAAATATGAGCCAGTTACCAAGCAGCTAAGATTGTGATCATATAGCCATGGGAACGCTGCAATGGTTGTGTGAAAAACGGTCATAATTCACTTTTTTTCAGTGCTGTTGTAACTTTGAACGGTCACTAAAGGAACTGTTGTGAGTCGAGGACTACCTGTATGTGCAGACTTTGGGCATTTGCAAGCCCCAAGTCATATTGTCGGATCATCTGGGAATTCATCTGATACCAAAACAGAACTGCACAGTGTTTCTCAACATTGGCAACTTTAAGACGCATCAATTTTAGCAGCCTGGCTGGGTAATTCTGGTAATTCAGACCCACACATCTTAAAAGATTGCCAAGGTTGAGAAACACTGTGCTAGCAACTCTCTCACATATCTTTCCTATCATCATAGAAATTTGTGCAAATAGTCCTTGACTTAATGACCATTTGTTTAACAACTAAAGTTATGACAGCATTGAAAAAAGTAGCTAATGATATGTCCTCGTACTTACGACCATCATAACCTCCGTATGGTAATGGGTTTGTGATTTGAGTGCTTGGCAACCAGCAAATATGTATGAGAATTGCAGCATCTACCTCAGGGGTCTTCAAACTTGTCCCTTTTATGACTTGTGGACTTCAACTCCCAGAATTCCTCAGCCAGGCACGCGTGCCTGGCTGAGGAATTCTGGGAGTTGAAGTCCACAAGTCATAAAAGGGACAAGTTTGAAGACCCCTGATCTACACTCTTCCCAGACACCTTTTGACAAGCAAAGTCATGGGGGGGAGAGCCCAATTTGCTTAATGATCATAGTGATTTACTTAACAGCCATGTCAAAAGATTGTAAAATCAGGTGCAACTCACTTAGCAGCTGTATCACTTAGTGATGGAAGTTCCAGTCCCAATTATTGTTGTTAAGTTGAGGTCTCCCTATAATGTTGAATAAGTCAAGAGTCTGGGAGGACCTTTCGTGAGTAACGCCATTTTATTAAGTGGCATTAGCTTTTTGTGAAGTTACAGCTTTTAATAAAATTTGTTAACCAAATTTCATTGGTTAGCAGTTAGTTAATTTTATTAGCAGTAAATAAAATAAATTTTATTTGTTAGTACCAAAAGGTGCTCCCAGACTCCTGATGTTTTGCTCCCATAAACTAAGATGGCTATCCTCCTACATTAAATAGGAATTGCATCACACTTTTCCTTGATCTGAAAGATTGCCTCTGTCCTGAACAGATCTGGAATGGAAAAGAGAAACAAGATCATTCCAGGAGAACAGAATGACCGTCTTGCTTGAACTTTGTGAGAATGTACGTGGACTATGGGTCTCGCCTTCCCATAATGGTGGTTTGAAAACGCCTCATTCACTGTTCAGGGTCACTCTCATTGCCATTTCATAGCTAAACCCCTCTGATTGCAAATTTAACTCACTGGATGATGGTGTTTTCTACCTTCTCCCAAGTCTTACAAAAGATGCACCATTTCTGGTGTTTCTGGATGCCTGTGGTGATGAAGCATCAGGGCCTAGAACAGATATGTCAAACATAAGGCCCGGGGGCCGGATGCGGCCCGCGAAGTGGTTTCATGTGGCCCGCGAAGCCATCCTGGAAACAGTGAGGGAACAGCCCCTGCTGCCTTGGCCCAGGCCAGCCGGGAGCCAAAGTACAATTTTGTGGTGGCCATCTATGCTGAAATGCATTCAGTCTTAGCTCCACAAGGCCGTCTAGAAACAGCGGGGAACCAGCCCCTGCCGTGTCGGCCCCGCCCCCTGGGTGCATGCTGGGGAGGTGTCACCCTTTGTGAGGAATGAAGAAATGGACCATGCCTTGGCGCTTGTCCCGGTCCCACCCCCTTCTGCCAGAGACCCTCAGATCTGTCCCACTCCTGCCCAGGCCCCCATAGGCACCCTTGACGCGAACGATTTAGAGCTGGCCATGCCCACCCAGTAGGCCACACCTACTCCATCCACGCCCACCCAGTAGGCCACACTCCCCCGGCCACCCCCCCCCAGGGCAACCAGAATGCTGATGCGGCCCTCAATGAAATTGAGTTTGACACCCCTGGCCTAGAATCAATCCAGCTCCCACTGACCACTCTACGCGCTCCCTTCTTATCCAGTGCTATTTTGCTTTCTACTGCTGCCCTGATTTTTTTTTAATTACAGGTCGTCCTCAACTTACTATTGAACCCAACATTTCTATTGCTAAGCAAAACAGTTGTTCAATG